GTCTGCATGCTAGAATGCGTATTTCTTATCCTGATGAAGCCGTTGATGCCGGTAGCGGCATGAAGTCGGCTCTGCAAATTACGGATGTTTCGCGTTTTGGGACGTTTTTAAACGGAAGTCGAGTTATCAAGAATGCAGTTACATCAGTTCCAACCGGCTCCGGCATAACATTTGGTGCAATGCCTGGTGTTACGATAGCGTAAGTTGCGTTCCAAAAAAAAACAGATTCAGCGCCAAGATGTATCCTCTCAATGTGCTCCTCTCGTCCATCTCCCCAACGGCCAAAGTGAAAGTTAGGGCTGCCATTCATTCATTAGGCGGCAAAATGTTTTGTGAATGGACTGAGGAGTGTAACCTTCTTGTCATGTCAAAGCTTGTAGTCACTCATAAGGTAGATCTTTTAGTGTCTCATGTTATAGGTTTTGTGCTCTTTGCTTCGTAATTTGGACATCGTAACTCCCGAATATCTGTACGCTCTCGAGAACTATTGTCATACTGAAAATTTTCGCGATCCTAATCGTTCCAGGTAAGGTGTAATATCACTATCAGTTATGGGTATGAAGCCATTTACCTCCGATTGAAGAGAAGGGGTTTTCGGACGCGGATGCCTCAAAGTTTTACGTGAACCCCAGAAGGCGCTTTGTTTTTGATGACAAGACCTTCATCTTTCTCACCGCGTCAAAGGTATTCTTTGACTGACTTATTTCTTTTGAATTTTAGTTGAAATTTCATTGCTCAATTTTCAGTTTCAGCGTTTCTGTCTCCTGCTGAACTTGACTAATGCCAAGTCAGTCTGTATTGCGGAGACCATGTCTTTGCATCGGCGGTTCTTCATGGACTTTTTTGCGTCCATATCCGATCCATGTCTTCTGTACGAGACGGGAAGCGCAGCGACGGAACACGATTTGGCGTACTCAGTCTTAAAGAAGGATTTCAATAGGCGCCCCATTTTGGAGCAGGAAATTGCGTTGGCTATCATTGAGAGTTCATGTGAGACTTATTGCAATGCTACGCGTCCATGTCCTATCTCCAACAGTGAGAGACCTTTAAGTTGCCCTTTTGAATATAAATCATGGGATATGGGAATGCCAAGTGCCAGCATCAGCAATCCTGAATCCAGTCTTAAGCGCCTCAGGTAATTGGTTTGATTTCTAGTAAGACACTTTCATTGCTCATTTTTATTCATATGCCTAGGAGTAATCTTTTTCGTAACAACTTTGTATTGTTTGGTCATTTAATGTTTGTTTTTGCTTAAATTTCTACCTTAACTCCCATCAATTACCTTTTACATCTTTAAGCTGTTCACCTAAGATATCTGCGGCCTGGCACCTGACCATTAATACATTGCATCGTGGCACCTTCATTTGTACTTAAGAATTTCCAGGAGATTCGTATCGCCTCTTCGCTACTGTTTCTAATAATGTTAACCTCAAATTTTTAACTATAACTACCGTTATTACTGTCGCTACTTTCTGGGATGCGTATGTGTAAAATAGTTCTACCTGATCAGCTGAGTAAACAGGTGGCACATGTTTAGATATATTTTCATATGGCATTTAGACTACTTGTGAGCGTCATGGAGCGTGCAAATTTGGGAGGCCTTATTGTGAATGTGTAGAAGGGTTGCGATATCAGAAACAAAAGTATCGCAGGTGTAGAGTCGAGTCTCAGAGGACAATAAAACACCAAACTAGTTGCACTTGGTCATTAAATCTGTCAAAATCTATTGTTGCTATGCTGCTGAATTTATGGCAGTTGGGAGAGTTGTCATTTTATGACTACTTTTATCTTTACCAGTCGAGCATTTAAACTAAACTTTTGTGCTAATAGGTTCTCTGCTGCGGTGGATGCCTTTGCATCCCCAGCCATAGTGCTTCTACGATATACTTATTATTTTTTTCAGGGAAAACGTCGATGATGATAGTGAAGCCACTGCAGTCAATGAATTGAAATTAAAGCGTCGGTGTGGGCAGGCACCCTTGCTGCCGCTATCAACACTCTTTGATAACTTTAATAAGGTGATGTGATATCTTGCCGCCCATTCAAAAGTACATTCTTCTTAACCAGCTTGGAATGTCTATGATATAGTAACCTTAGGGCTTGGATACGGTTTCTGTTGAACGAACGATATACATCGCGCTCTCTCAGATGACCGCCGAATGTTAATAGAATGGTAAACCAGGCGAAGTGCCCTTGAAACCCAAGAAATATTAACCATAAAATGATTGCACTTTTCTAATTTAACATAAAGCGGTACTTTTAACGTTGTGCTCTGCATATTTACAACACGAGTCAATCATACCTTTACCATTCGTATCACAGGACACCACGAGGCGACCACTAACTTTGCTTCCTGGCACCAGGGAAACCAACACGTTCAACATCGCACAGAACAGTTCTCCAGATGTGGAGAAAGAGAAAGATTTTGGTCGACATGTACCCCAGTCTGGCTTCAAGTCGATTTTTATCAAGCCGAAGGCATCTGTTGTTGAAATAAATCTCGAAGGTATGTTAACGAACCTAACGTAACTTTTGGTGG